AATAACGACTATATTCCATCTGTAAATATTGTGGTCGCTAAATAGTCGTTAAGAAGTCACAAAATAGTCGCAAACATTTGCGACTAATAATTCGGTCGCAAAGTTTAGTTGCAAAATGCAGATTTTCTTGTAGGTATAATGTTCTAAAATATTTCCTCTCTATGTTTGATGTTTAAAAAACTTAGTTCATTCTAGTTCCAGTCTTTTAAGTACTTTTTATTTCGCTTTTTGGATATTTTGGTGAATGTTAATATTTTGTACAATTTTTGATTTCTTAACACATATTGGTTAGCATTTTGTAATTTTTAATTAGTCATACTCAAAAAATAACTCACATAACCTATTTCTATATCTAACAAATCATAATATATGTTCTTGTAGAAGTTAGCGGAAAAAGAAAAATTTCAGAGTTCAATACCTTAATAACTTTGTCTATTGCTTGGTATTTTTTTGAAAATCTCAACGTGAATGAGATCATCTATATTCAATTGTATGTCGGAAATATGGATTTAAGAAAGAGAATATAAATTGCAAATTAATTTTAAAAAATCCAACAACATTTTATACAAATAAAATAGATGTCAAAAAACACTTGTGATTCCCTAATTCGAACATGGGTATGATGCAAGCATCATCATGAGTTTATCTATAATTCAATATTTTTATTATAAAAAAATTATTAAACATGTTAGTGACATACATAAGATTATTTTTCCAAGATGAATACATGGCTTATTGAAGTGGAAGGACTTTCAAGCCTAGAGTTTTAAGATTATGGTTTGGTGTCATTATAGTTGTGTAGTTACATACAATTATGTTCTAGATGTGATCCGTGTATGAAGTTGTGCAGTATCATCGTCTATGTTACGATCTTCACCCACTTAGTCATACCATACTTACGGTATAACATTTTCCATTTTGTTTTCAATATTCCAAATTTGAAATTTACTTAATTGGAATAGGTAAGTGAAGTTTATGTAGAATTTCTTCTCCTATGAGAAGTGATCATAGAGGGGGAACTATCGTCAATCAAGTCTACAATTTCTATAATGGACTACTGGTAATTAGTATTTTCAACATTGATATAAGACTATACGTACATTTAAAGTGCATTCGATTTATAAAAAACTACAGTCTCTGTGTTAATGTGTATAATATAATTATTTGATAGACAAATATTATGGGAAAAACTATGAAATGTACCACATTTCTCCAAAATCTTTCCAAATGTATCACATTTGGAAACTCCTTTCCAATCATACCACATTTGGAAGGTGGAGTTACGATTTTACCCCTCAACGCAAGGCAGTTTTCGCGCCGAAGAGCTGCCACTGATTTGACAACGTTTTGCTTACCTATTAATCTCTCCTCCTCGGTCCTCGTGCGCTTTAATCATCCATCGATTTTTCCATTGAGAGGAAACGATTCACTCTCGTCTCTCTCTCTCTTTCCCTTTATCTTCCTTCTCCTTCTGCTCCAAATATAGAACATGTAATTTTCGTTGTCAGATACTCTGCATGTAACTTCAATTGATTTTGTCCCCCGGTTCTAATCAGTGATTTAGTTCGTTAAATCCGGAAAGTTTATTTACTTGTCCTCATCTGAGGTGGATCAATTTTAGTCCCTGTTATATTAGGGTTATGTCCCTTTCCATCCCTAAAGCGATTTCTTCTTCATTTTTTCCGCGTTGCAGATGAGGTCCTCCGCTGGTAATTTGAATCCAAATTCGCCGGTTGGTAGATCCAGGCCATCGGTTTCGTTTGAAGACGACGACGACCCTTTCATCTCCGCCAAATCAACACCGTCCCACTCTAATCCTCCAAGGCGTCATGTTGTCCCTGAACCCGACAGGGAAAAGCTTCCCAAAAGACTCTACGCCACTGATTGCTACCCGCCTATCGGTCGTATCAATGCTTACTCTAAGCCTGAGTATCTTCTCGATCTTGTCGAAATCTTAGAAGGTACTAAAGAGTTAAATTATCTCCGCGCTTCATGCTTTGGTCCTCTATTTCAGCTTCCTGTCCGCAGATGTTCTTTTTCCGGCAAATTAGTGCATCAGATGTTGTGTAGAGGCCTCTACACAAAGAAAAAACACGAGCTTTGGTTTGTTTTCGCCGGTCAGCCCTTCCGATTTTCTTTAAGAGAGTTTGCTATTCTGACTGGGCTTGATTGTCGGCCGTACTCAAAAAAATCTGATATATTGAAGTCGCAGCAACCCATTCAACCAAAAAATCCTTATTGGAATGTTCTCATTGGTAAGGGAAACAAGGTTGTCCTCATTAAGGACATCGTTGAATGGTTGAGGGCAGACAAGATGAAGCCCAAAAAAGATAAGATGGAAGACTAGAGAAGGCTTCGTCTCGCCCTTATCGTCATCGTCGAAGGTATACTGATCTGCAGTTCCCAACCTGTCAAAGCTTCGGTACAAGTTGTTGAAATTGTTTCCGATTTGGAGCGTTTTGAAGCGTTTCCCTGGGGACGTGAGTCATTCCTTCTCACAATGCGAATGGTTAAGGTCAGTTCGAAGGTTAGCAGTCTCTCAGGCCTAATTGCGAAGTTCAACCAGTCTCATTCTTCAACCCACGGGTTCCCTCTTGTCTTCCAACTGCTTATGCTCAAGGCCATCCCCGAGTTTGAAAAATATCTTCCTAATCCTGATGATACGCAGACCATGGGTGATGGGTCTATCACCAATTTGCCTCCGTTGAAGACTTTTCACAACTCCAACATAATGGAGACAGAGCTAATTACGGGGGTAATGTCTCCTAAACTTTATAATTTTTCAATCTTTTCGTTATTGTTTGTTATTTGATTAATGATTGTGTTCAATGCAGTTGGTTATTGCCCCCCTGTTGCCTTCTGACGATCCGCCTCACCCATCGATCAACATTTGGGGTGATGAAGTCTCTGACCCGGCTCTTGACTATATGGAAAGGCTTATCGGTGGCGGATACAAGTTCACACGAGGGGACTGGAGAGGTGGGTGGCGTTCCTGGCCGCCGATAGTCGTTGATGAGAACCTCAAAGAAGACAATGTTCGCAAGCCTGAGAAGGTGTCTTTTAGGCGTCCAAACATCAACTTTGTAATCCCTGAGACTTCCCAGGGTGGTCCATCAAAGGGTAAGGGGAAGGTTACTGAAGATAAAGATCCCTGTCCTCCAATGGGACCTGAGGGACAAGATGTTCTCCATGCTCTGATCATGGAACAAGTTAATGCGAAATTTCGTGAATTGAAGGATGAATTGATTGTTAAGCTTTGTCGGATGGTAGTTGTTGAGAAGTCTTTGATGAAAGACGAACTGTTAGACGAGATCATTAGCAATCTGCGCCATGGGGGTAAGTTTCCAACCCCGTCGGGTGAAAAGTCTAGTGGTGACGATATTGTCCCCCCCCCCCAGAAAGCTTTCTCACCAGATAAGGACAAGGACACTGGTGGACATACGGCTGCAAGGGCACCATTGGACATACGGCTGCAAGGGCACCATTAGACCAGGTACAAGCAAGGGCACCTTTGTACAGACATCTGATTCCTCCCATGTCCAGATAGATCCTCCTGCGCCATCTGGTCCTCAAACCCCGTCTTTTGGTTTTGATCAATCGAAGGGGAAAAGCAATACTCAAATTTTGGAGGAATTTCAGAAACAAGCCTGGTCTGAATACGGCGGATTGTCTGATGTTTTACAAAACATTAACCAGTCTTATGCATCTCCATCTCGTCCTTCTGCGTCTGGTCCTTCTGCGTATGTTCCTTCTGGGACTGGTTCTTCTGCTCTTGGTCCTTCGGGAACTGTTGTTTCTGCTTCTGCTGGTGCTTCTACTTCTAGTCCCTCTACGGCTGGGGTGTCTACACCGAAGTTCTCTGGTGATCACAACGTAAGTTCATGTCTTCGAATTTTGGTTGTTTGAATTTTCGTTCATGTCTTCCTTAATAACCCCATTTCTTTCATCTTATTCAGCCCAAAGACTTCCAAACGCCATTGCCTACTATACACGAGGACAACGCAGACGACTTCCACAACGAGATGGTTGTAGATGATCACAACGTAAGTTAAAATAAAGTCTTGAGAAATTGTTTATTTATTTTCTTTTTTTTTTAATTTCTTTTCTTCTTTACTTGTTCAAGCCCAACGACTTCCAAACGCCTCATCAAGATATAGAGAACGAGGAAACTGAAGAATCTGAGGATGGCGAAGATACAGACCAGGTTTGTCTGTTGCTCTGCAAACATATATTTCTGTCTTTCCATGGATATGATCCATTCTTCTAATAACCTATTTAACAGGTCCATGTTGAGAAATCTGGTGGTGGGTCTGAAAACGTCGATGTTATTGTTGATTGTGAGGAGAGAAAAGAAGATGTAATTGAAAAGTCTGTTGGTGCGTCTGAGACTGCTGTCGAGGATGTTGTTGTAGAGACCAAGTCTCAGTCGGGGGACGAAAACCAAATTATGGGAGACGAGAGTAGTGATGGGAGTCATGGAGGATCTGATCCCGAGGAAGGGCAAGATGAGGAAGCTGTAGTACAGGCGGAGGTATAATTATTTCCCATTGGAAAACCAAACCTCATTTGATCATGTTTTGTCCCTGAAATATATCGTCCCCATCTTATTAGGCAAACAAATCATGGCCGCCAGAGCTTTTTAAATCTCCAAGAGCTGCTGATGTACAACAGGTTGACAGTCAAGAGGTATGTTTATCTTAATTTTGTTCACTTTTTTGTTTTCAAGAAGAAAATTGCCTAACAATTTTCCTAACAATTTGTTTTTGTTTCCTAACAATTTTTTTTTGGATAGCCTAATGCTACTGGTGGTGGTTTGGCAAAGTCGAAAAAAAGAAAACATTCTTCTGTTGGTGATGCTGTTGAAGGAGATTCTTCTAAGCCGATGCTCCCTTCCAAAAGGGCAAGGAATAAACCCCAACGTTTCCGTGACCCAGTCCAAGGAGTCACAGGGACCAACAATGATTCGCAAACAACTGATGAGGTCCTCCACCCACTTGAAAAAGTTAATGATGAGGTCCGTAAAAAATTCTTGTCCACTCTCAAAAATTATCGAACCAGGTATTTTGTATTTAGTTTCCCCATTAATATATTTTTCCTCTTTTTTTCACAAATTTTATTGGAATTTTTTTTATTTTCCATCAATGCACTCAGGGAGTTCGTTCTTGATGGACACGTTGTTCCCAAGTCCTTTTTTAAGGATATGCACACTCCGCAGCAACCTGTCCACCAAGAGGTACGGTTTATTTATTCTAATGATTCATAGCTATTTTATTTAAGTACATGACCTCTAAATATTTATGGTCCCTATACAATTCAGCACATCGATGCCATGCTAAGTCTTTTGGCGCGGAGGTTTGGTGATGCTTTGGTCCAGGGTAGGGCTGCTATACTTGATTCATGGTTTGCCCTTAACCTTTGCGAGCTCTATCCTCGTTTCAAGAAGTCTAAATCCAAATCTGAGTGGGCGTGGAACAGTAAGGTAAGGGACTACGTCAGAGGAATAGTCCCCGGGCGATTCATGAGACAGGCTTGGTTCTCCGATGTGGACACTCTATACGCGCCTTTTCATATGTCTGGCGGACACTGGGTTGCGCTTGTCATAGATTTGAAAGAAGGGACCATCGCTGTACTTGACCCTAACGAGGGCGCCGAAACCGCCAAACAGATGGACCTGTTGATGAAACCTCTGCTTGTCTTGTTTCCTTTTATCATCAAAGCACTTGTCCCCAAAGCTCATCTCGGAAATCATCAAGTCCCCCGTGAGTTCGTCTATGATTGTCTTCCTGAAATCCTCCAATGCGAATATGAAGACGACAGTGGTCCTCTTGTTGCGAAGTTCATTGAACTTCATTTCCAAGGCATTAACCACGACACCATACCCGAAGATGATTTCGTGGAGAATGTCAGAATGAGATTTGCGGTCGACATCTTTGAGGAGTTTGTTGAGCCTCTTCGTGTTTGATGCCCCTTTCAATTTTTCCGTCTAAGAACTTATGTCTTTTGTATTATTATTTTCTCTATGCTTTTGTCTTCTTGGATGCTTAGGAACTTCATATTTTAAAACTACTTTGATGCTTTAGGAAGGGAATTTGGTTTTAAATCATATTTATGTTGGATTTTACTTATATATATCATAGAATTCATGGACGGTATACTCATCGTCCCCCGGTTAAAACCATGGACGATGTTTTGGCTATCAACCTTATTAAAACAAGGAAACTAGATATTTAAACACCCAATAACAATGTCAGAATCCAGCTACTCTCAACTGTTGTCTCCCCTAATGCCTTACGTCCTTACTTATTGCCCCTAACGGGGACAACATTGATCTTCCATTGATGTGCGATCGACTTGACCTTTACCAAGAAGACATTAAATCGCTTCAGCATACTGTTGGTCTTCTGCAACGCTCCCCTCGTTCCATTGTCGACGTCCTTCGTTTATGTCCTCCAAGGCTCATTCTCGTCCTCGCGCTTATAGCCGCCTTCATGCTTGGCACTTATGTGTAGCGTTCAGAGTTTTAAGCTATTTTTTTCATCCTTCGGCTATTATGTCCCCTAGTTGTTATATCGTGGGACTCGCGTGATATGTTTGTCCCTTTCTTCTTGATACCCGAATTAAAATATAATTGTAAGGATGATATTTATTGGAATCATGATTGCCCCAGAAATTTTTATTTATATGCCAATGTAAATATTTATCTCCATGTCCCCCAATACATGGAGATAGCAGCTATCCCTTAGAATATTTATTTACAAAATAAGAATTGAGGTCTTGTCACTTTTATTAGTATTTACTATACTACATTCATTGTCCTCAACTACTATTCCAATACTCTAACAACAGCCCTTTAATTTTAAGTATAGGTTTTTGTCACTTCTAATTTATTAGTTACTTTTCCACATTCAATTGTCCCTAACCACTCCCTCTATTGTCTTCGCCAATATTATCTTCTGTGACTAACTTCTATATATAGTTATTGTGGCTATATGGAAGCCAACAGTCTCCATACTGCCAACATGTTTTTATGGCAAAAGCTTCCCAAACATCTTAGGCTTACGATTGTCCTTCTTGTTGGTAAGTCATGTTACCGGCACTTAGGACCGCTAATTCTCTCTGGTAACGCTGGCCGTCGTCTCGCTCTTGATCCTTATGTTTTGCGTGAGACTTCTCTGGCTCTCCTTGAAGCGCATCCTCAATATGTTTTCATCGGATCACCCCTTTACTTGTTTGTTTTACGATGTGTAAAGGCTGGGAATCCCGTTGCTTGTTACTTAGAGAGCATTAGGCTCGCTGCAGTCGATGGGTTAATAAACGAAGCAATGGACATTCTCGCTCTTTTACCCGATCCATCCCCCAAAATTCTATTCACAAAGAGTCTCTATCTTGTCTCTGTTAATCTACCTATCGATGCCATCACCGCCATGAATCTATTCAAACACAAAGTTGTCTCTTCCCGCAACGCTACTCGTGTGTCCACGCTTGTGATGTCCGATATTAAGAAGATCGCCCCCAACCAAAATAGATTCAACTGGACTGCTATACCTGCTACTTGATCCATCCCCCTCGTCGATATTCAGAATGTTCTAAATGTAATTTTTGGAACCCCTGTCCTCTCTGTGTTAATTGGTGGGTCTTATGATTTGTTTTTTGTATCTTTATATTGTCTCTCATCGCTCTTTGTCTTCGGAGACATATGATATTAAAATTATATATATTGTTTGTACGAATAAGCTGTGAGATGTGCTTGCAAGTTTCTTTATATTACATCAACTTTCCACATACTACATGTCATACTACTTCCATTTACCAAAAGATAACCACATGGATAAAATAAAAAATTTGACCGACTAAATTTGATAGAAAGGACTTGTTACTTTTTCAACCCATTTCTTACTACATGAACCAAAATTAATTTCCGTTAACTATCCAAACTACAAAACCAACAAAATCCGGGGATGGATTCTAATCCCCAACCTTAGAGAGGATTTTTGCAAGTTGCTCTATTGTGGCCATCCTGTCCACACGTAGTGCATTTGTTTGGTTTCTTCTTTTTCCAATTTGCGCCCTAGACATCCATGGATACAGTTTGTTAGATTTCATCGAAAGGGACGGAATGTATTATTATTAAATGCCCTACTTACTTGTTTCTCTCCCCGCGATGGTATACGTACAGTCCTAGGTCGCCCGCCTGGTCTTCTTGTTTTTGGTGGAATCACAACCACCTCACTAATAGTGTTCGGGACCTCGGTGTCCTTTTCCTTTGGCGGAGGTAGAATATGCTCACGCCATAGCTTACGCCACTCCGTCACGAATGCATAGCTCCCGACCAGTGAGTATATGTCCACGTTCCTTATCCCCACCGCAGCCAAAGCGTGACAACACGGCACCATTAGCACATCAAATACCCTGCAAGTACATGTCTTCTTCTCTAGATCCACCGTGAAAACGATTCCAAAACCGTCGTTCACTTGATAAATCCATTCACTTGCTGCTATGACTGCACAATCAGTAGCTTCTTTAAGATGATCTATTAGCATTTCCTCGATTTCCGGCGTACATCTTGTCCGAGTTTTCGTTGCAACTTCTCTTCTTTCGCAAAACCAACGCATTAACATTGTCCTTATGAATTCCACCATCGTCACTATGGGGAAATCTATGGCTTTTTGCATTGCAGCATTTAGGGACTCCGAGATGTTGCTGCTCATCACATTGTATCGCATGCCCGGGAAGTAAGCAAGTGTCCAATGAGAAATCCCTATCTCTACCAAATAATTGGCACACTTAATGTTTCTTCTTTGAATTTCTTCAAACCAATATCGTAAATCTCATGCAGTGTAAGATCTAGCCGCATTGGAGACCATTTTCGCAAGTCCCTCACACTTAAAATGGTGGACAACGTTCCTAAACAAATGAACAGTGCAGCACGCATGTTTTGCGAGAGGGTACACCGTCCTTAGTCCAGCATAAATGGCTGCATGTCTATCAGAGACGAAGACGAGATCTTCCTCATCAGGGACAATCTGCAAAAGCTGTTCGAAAAACCACGTCCACCCTGCGATGTTCTCACTGTCAATGATACCGAATGCTAGTGGGAATATTTGGTAGTTTCCGTCTTGTCCACTCGCAGCAACCAAACAGCTTTTGTATTTTCCTTTCGTTTGTGTTCCATCTATCACTATTACTTTCCTCAGATACTTATACCCAGCAATTGAAGCCCCAAACGCAAAAAAAAAGATATTTGAACCGAATATCCCCTCCTCAGTGTAATCCGTATGAACTGTGGACAACGTACCTGGATTGGTTGTCCTCAATAGATGCAGGTATGTCTGCAAGAACTTATAGCTGTCTTCCTCACTACCACGAGCTCTTTTCATTGCCATCTCTTTCGCGTGCCAAGCTTTCATGTATGATATCGTTACGTTTAGCTCTTCCAATACTATCTCTGGTAGTTCACAAGCCCTCGGTCCCTTCTTCCCATGCGCATATTTTGCTTTTAGCAAATCACCTAGAATCGATTGTGTTGCTTTCATCCCGTACTTAGACCGCGATTTCACATCACAACTATGTTTCAGAGTTGCTGTTCGAATTTGTTCTCGTGAAACGTTGCATATATCCTCCAGTGACATTTGGAATCATGGCATATCGCAATTACCCGCCTTTTGTCTGAAGCTTTAATTCGGAAATTGAATAGCCTTTTAATAGAGTACACACACAACGCCCTATGCAACTCGGCTTTGTTCTTGAATATCTTTCCAATATATATTGAATCACCCGCCTTCCTAAGATTCATGTTTGTTGTGTCTTGAGCAACTCCTTTTGCGTTGTCCTTAAATGGTGCGGTATCTCTAATCATCTCAAGATCGTCCCCCACTAATTCAGTAAACATGTTTTCACCCAATGTAAGTTGCGAACTTGTTTGCCCCATTTGGAATGACATTTCTGCACTTTCCTCTCCACCACTACAACCCATGACCTCCTCTTGTAAATTTTCTTGTCGTTCTCCGACATCAAAAGCTGAAGCATCTGGTCTTCCTTCCAGAAGCATATGATTTCGTCCAGTCGCGTCCCATGTGGTCCCTCTATAGTCAGTATCAATCGTTTATTTCCTTAGCGCACTTGTCCCTCTTTCTCTCATTCGTCTATCCTCTCCAACCCTACCGCCCAAGCCCTCCTCTCTATTTCCTTGTCCTTCTCCGTCATCAAAAGGTGAAGCATCTTCTCTTCTTGGCAATGCTGTAACCGGAACGTCCACTAGCCCTAACGCAGCCTGATTTCGTCCACTGCCTGTATTCCTTCTTCCACAACTACTGTCCCAAGGAGGAATTAAACTATCCGACGTTTCTGTCCCCTGCGAATTTGCCCCTATTTGCCTCATTTTTATTTGCCCCATTTAGATTGACATTTCTACACTTCCCTCTCCAGCACTACTTTCTCTTCTGCCCATCTCAGCAACCTCAACTTCAACTAGCTGAAACCCCGATTGTCCCCTCATTAAATAGTCGATCTGGTCCCCCACCACATTGTCATCCACCTGTCCCCGCAATATTTCGTCTTCAGTCGTTATTGTTTTCTCCTTTGAAATCTTCCAAGGATCCCAATCCGGTGGGTACTCTGTTTCTATCAACTTACTCATGGCATCAAAGTCATAATCTCCGGAATCTTCTTCCTCACTTAACATATTATCTTCTGAGTCGGATTCCCATCCCCCGCAATCGCTACCCGTATCCAATTCTCCAACTAGTTCCTCTTCTCGTCGCTTCTTTGCATTTTCCTTGTCAAGCAAAGCTTTCTTCCTCTTATAAGACTCTTCAAACTCATATATCTCAGCTAAAAATTCCTCTTCCTCAAAACTAACTGGGATAAACTGTGTGCTGTCACCAGCACTCTCCACTGCGTTGTCCCCGACAGCATTCGAATCTGGTCCGTTGATTGCGTGTTGTCCCCTGGTGTTTGCACACTCTTCATCGTCTTCTACTAAAGTTAGATACATGTTCATACCTCCTTTATCTACCCTTAACTTTTTGAACTTCGACAATGAACTCTCGCTATCAACAGAGACAGGAGGCATCTTTTGTTGCGTGAAGACAGTGTCTCCTCCTTCGAACCAAAAACTCAGCTCCAATTTTGTCCTTTTCCTGTTTACTCCAAACGCTGTAGCAATTTTCTGTTCAACATCAGTAATTGTGTCTCCTTCTCCTACATCTACACACTTTGCATATTTCTTTGCTGACATCTTGAATCGCCACTCACCACTTTCTTTGCATTCCCATGATCCGACCAATATCATTACTCCTTCGTCCATTGAAACCTGTCGTCCTCCATTTAATACACCAAATTAGTATGATAGTTGGATGCATTTATCACAAACTAACAATCCTAACCGTTTTTCGAAGGACTACAATTAAATTCATAAATTTACCTTCAAAAGCTTTTACTGTCCTTCCTTCTACCCCAACTTCAATTTCGTCCAGCATAAGGGTTTTCTCCCCAGAATTCTAGTTTACCCAGATCTACACACAACCTTCTTTTACATGATGTATTAGTAGAGCAATTATGGCCTAACCCTACTCTATTATCATAATATTAAAAAGTTTTCCGTACGCACTTGTAAACGTCCCAGCATTAAATGCACCTTCTCACTCTTCTCCCGCGACGCCCCAAGATGTCCCTTTTACCCTGACACACACATCTGTGCATTAAATGCACACTGCTCCCTCTTCTCCCGCGACGCTCGAAGATGTCCATTGATCTGACACACACATCTGTCTCAATCAGAGGTAATTTGGTCCGGATCTCTGCGTGTGGCATCCAAATGTGGTAGATTTGGCAAACTTTTTTGAAATGTGGTAGTTTTGGAATGCCACATTCTGAAATGTGGTAGATTCAGTCAAATTCCCAATATTATGGTAGGATAAAATGAGGAGTAAATTTATTATTGTATCTGAACAGCAAATTCGAGACTGTTGTTGCGCTGGAGGTAGGTAAGTCCTTCTTCGGCAATGTGATTGACTATTTTACTATACAAGTTTATTGAGTCAAGTAGAATATTACGACTTAACAAGCAAGCTTTGATGAAAATTCTCAGCCAAAATGTTTTGGAATTAAACACTATCTAGGAAAACTTGCAAAGGATAATAATATTTAGAAATCATATTTCCTTTTTTCCGTTGACTTAATATCGATTAAAAATCACATAATATCTTTGATACATTATATATGGTGAGTTGAATCTTGGTCTTTCTCTTGCGGGGCCTAAAACTGAGCAAGAAACAAAGTTCAATTCTGCAGCTTATTATGAAAATTGTTTAAGCCTAAACAAATTATTGAACGTAACATAGGAATCAATGTCAACAGTACAGATGATTACGAAATATCACATTTGGTGTAGTGCCCTCACTTTAAATCTTTAATTATTTGTATTATATTTTCCAAAATCAAAATTATTTTTATTTTATTATTATTTTTATAGTTATTTTCTACAGCACGTTGGGGCTGAAACTGGATTTGAAGATATAGTAAGGCTCCTCCTTGAAAGAGGATCAGAAGTGCGAAGATATATAGTTTTCTAAACACTGACCTCCCTATGTTTGATGTTCTAAAAACTTATTTCATTATGGTTTAAGTGTTTCAAGTACTGTTTATTTCAGTTTGCAGATATTTTGGTGATATATCAACATTTTGTATGAATTCTGTTTTCAACATTTTGTATGAATTCTGTTTTCTAAAAACATTTTGGTTAGCATTTTGTAATTTTTAATTAGTACTACTAATTTAGCGAATCACAATATATATTCCTATCGAAATAATCAAAAAAGAGCAAATTTTATAATTAAATAATCAAAAAAGAGCAAATTTTATAATTCCATACCTCCAAAAACTTTGATAAGCGTGCATGTTGCTTAGTCTAATTATACCTCGCTAATATGGAATTAAAAAACAGATATGTATTGTAAATTAATTTTAAGAAATCCAACAGCATTTTACCAAATAGATCTCGATGATCAGAATGGATGATTTTAATGGTTATTGAGGAAGATAAGATTTTTTCCAAGCTATAATCTCAGACTATCTGTCGGGACTTTTTATTTTCTAGTCGGTATGTGTCTGGTTTTCTAAAGACAAACTACTATAGCATTTTTATTGTATAATGATACACACTTTCGAGAGATGATTATATTCACAAAACAAGTTTCATAAGTCTTCTATTTCATATTTATATATCATTATATTTGAAACAACCGCACCCGTTTTTTTTTAATTAATTAACTAATATCCCCATAAATATTAATTAATTTTCTCCAATTAAAAATCATGCCAAAACCAAATAAGCATTTAACACACATAAACACACCGTTTCCGAGTTTATTAAATATAAATACTTCGACTCGACAATCTGATTAAAACAACAACAACGACGAGTCGAAATAATCCTATGATTCCACGATGGCGCTGTTTCTTTCCCTGCACCATAAAGAAAGAGATGGGGAAGTATTATCACAAATACTTACGTGAGTCGATGAGGAAGAGGATGATTAGGACTCGTCGTTGTTGTTGTTTTAATGAGATTGTCGAGTCGAAGTATTTATATTTAATAAACTCGGAAACGGTGTGTTTATGTGTGTTAATGCTTATTTAGTTTTGGCATGATTTTTAATTGGAGAAAATTAATTAATATTTATGAGGATATTAGTTAATTAGTTAAAAAAAAAAAAAACGGGTGCGGTTGTTTCAATATTTCATAGGGAACAAGGATAGAGGGATTCTATCATTTTCGAGAAAGTGGATATATTTCAACGGTTTTTACATTTATAAAGACATTAGTTCACTCTCAATAGTTTTGATGTTCATTTCGGTCCAAATTTCGGAAACATCACTCCAAATTTATATCAAATCTATTTTAACTCCGAGCACCAAAATGCAACTACTAAAAGACTATCCAAACCAAAATCACTTCTTTTATTTTCCGACACATCAACATCTAATCAATAGACTTGAGACGTGTCAAGATCATGTGAGTTAAAAAATTTGAAAGCCTAATTTATATAATTTAATGTTTTTAGTACTTTTCTAATATCTTAATATAATAAAAATTTATCGTTAATATGTATACATGTTTTAAAGAGGCTTTAGGCCACCTAAAACATAGGACCGGCCCTGATCTATTGCCTTGTTATTGTTTCCACATATGATTCTAGAATTTGCAGCTTGTATCGGTTTGTGATAAATGTGGGAGAAGAATGGTCATATCTCAAACCAATCTTACAAGACATCAGAATATGCTCAATCATTTAAAGAGGTCAAGTTTGTGTTTTTTTTTAATTGAATGTAAAATTTACTCAACCAAAACACCTTGTTACAATGAATGCATCGGTTTGTTTTGAGACTTTTGAAAAGATAGAAAAAATATAGAACAATTAGAGAGGAAACTTTGAAAATTAGCTTAAATTGTGTGTGGTCGAGTGGGGAACTATAGTTGTAGACATTCGTCGTGGAGATAGTCCCCCATGTCTCTGATCGAGCTGATTCTGTTTTGCATGTGTTGGTGTCGGATCTCGCACGGATGGTTCGGGACCAACCAAAGATTGCCACATAGGCAGGAGGAAAGCCCACGAGGGATAAGGCCCATTAGATCCACAAGCCAAGGGTGTGGTCGAGGTGGTTACACCACGAAGGAAGACCGAAGTGGCTGCATCTCGGGATGAGAACGGAGTTGAAGTCGCGGGTAGTTCGGCTCGATATTATTTGGGCTGAAGGGCGAGGCCCATGAAGATCGGAATCAATTCAAATTCGAACGTTTGAGCATTAAACTCAAAGACTGAAACGGACACATTTAAGAGAGAATAATTGTATTCAATTAGGAATTAAATATCGTTTGTTAGTATAAATATAAGGGCCAAAGGTCATGTAACGCACACGCAATTCTTTCTAGCAATTATACTATAGCTTTTTCTTAATTCATAGCCTTTGTGTAACAATTTCTATACTCAAGAGTATTCATTCTCACTAAATAAATAAATACTTGAGTGTGTGAATCCGACTTCCACATTTTGGCGCCGCCTGTGGGGACTGAAGACTCTTGAGCAGTCAGATTTCCTTCACTACATTTCCGAGATAGCAGCAATGTCCGGAGGAGACATCCCTGATGCATCATTGGCCGAAACTCTCAAAGCCATGCAGCAAACCATGTCGGAAATATCTCAGAAGTTCTTGCATGTGGACAAGGCTGTTGACTCGTTACAAACAACTCAGGTATCTCTTAGTCAAAACGTCAGTACTATTCAATCTCGTGTTCGCTCTTTGAGTGCAGGAAACCACCCTGGAGTCTGAAGAAGAATGTTCAATTCGCCAAGCTCCCTTGCGCGAAATGAAACCAGCGGACAAGTAACTCCTGATGCCACTAATACAGTAGTTCAGCCGGCGGACGGAGAGACGCAACTCGAAGACGAAGATCAACTAGCAGAACAATACGACCAAGAAAGTCTTGACCAGTTCGAGACTATGAAAAAGGTTAGCCAAGAATTAAAGGAAATGAAATCAAAGTTTCATCAGGCCACTAGTTCGGAACCAGATATCAATTGAGTCATTGAAGAATCTAGGCGAACACCTTTCATCCCGCGAATTGCAAGCTTGAGAATTAAAGATTCTCGGAAGCTCAAACTGGAGCCCTACAGCGGACTGGAAGATCCAAAGAGTTATCTCGCAGCCTTTTTGATTGCCGCTGGACAAGTCGAATTGGATGAAGCCGATGAAGATGCGGGGTACTACAAACTCTTTTCAGAAAATCTTTGCGGCCAAACACTAATGTGGTTTACCCAGTTAGAGCCAGATTCAATCAGCAATTTTGACGAGCTGTCAGCTGTTTTCTTGAAACAATATTCTATCCTTATGGATAAAAGCGTTTCGGACGCTGACCTTTGGAACCTATCACAAGGGTCGAATGAGTCACTTCGAGTTTTCATCACCAAGTTCAAGGGGGTACTGTCGAAGCTCCCAAGAATTTCACAACAGTCAGCTTTGTCTACCCTACGAAAAGGTTTGCGGCACGATTCAAGGTTCAAAGAAGATCTAATACTTCATAAACCGGACACAATCCAAGATGTACTTTTCCGCGCAGACAATTGGATGGAAGTAGAAGATGAAAAAGAGAATTTCGCCAAAAGGAATAAACAAGAAAAATCGGCGGTTACTTTCCCTACCAAGAAGTTTGAGCCCAGGGAAAATAAAGGACCAAGAAAGTTTGGGTCGCAGCCCTTCAACAATATCGTCATAAAACAATTCCAAGGAAAAGGAAAGTCGAACACGTGGGTCTGTGACGAGAGTTTATATTGTGACATCCATAAGGTGACAGGGCATTTAACCAAAGATTGCAGTGTCCTTAAAAGGCTTCTTGCGGAGCTGTGGGCTAGTGGAGATATTTCCAAATTCAACATAGAGAATTTCGTGAAGGAGTACCACGAAGCAAGAGACAGTGCCAAAGATCAGAACTCCAAAAGTCCAAGGTTGTCCAATTAAGAAGAACCAAGGAGTTCAAAAGGAAAGATCAATGTAATTCTAGGAGGTTCCAAACTTTGCCGAGATTCGATTAGTTCCATCAAGAAGCATAGGCGAAATGTTGCACTCAAAGCGAACTTGGGCGAAGAAGTTGACTTTCAAGGTGCATCAATATCATTTGATGAGGAAGAAACGCGGCACCTCGAAAGACCTCATGATGACGCCCTCGTCATTACCCTGGACGTTGCCAACTTTGAAGTATCGAGGATCCTCATCGATACGGGCAGTTCGGTCGACTTAATCTTTTTAAGTACTTTGGAAAGAATGGGAATTAGTCGGGCAGACATAGTAGGACCTCCATCTCCCGTGGTGGCGTTCACAAGTGAGTCAGCTATGTCTCTCGGAACGATCAAGCTACCAGTTCTCGCCAAAAAGGTATCGAAAATCGTGGACTTCGTTGTTTTTGATAAACCAGCAGCTTACAATATCATCCTCGAGACTCCGTGGATTTATCAAATGAAGGCAGTCCCCTCTACATATCACCAATGCATCAAATTTCCAACACCAAGTGGAGTAGAAACAGTTCGGGGAGATCAATAAGCTTTGCGAACATGTTACCTAGCTAGCCACCGTTTGAAGATCCAATAGCAATTAACGAAACCCGCAAAAAAGGGAATAATTCCAAGATTTCCTAGTGGGCAGAAAGAGGATGACGTAGTAACCGAAGTAGTATTAGAAGAAGACAAACCAGATCGGAAAGTCCAAATTGGGGTTACTTTGACCGGCAAAATAAAAGAGGCTTTAATCGAACTTTTGAGGAAAAACAAGACATCATTTGCGTGGTCGGCGGCAGATATGCCTGGCATAGATCCAAGCATAATTTGTCATGAATTTAACGTGGATCCAAGCTTCAAGCCTGTAAAACAAAAAAGAAGAAAACTCGGAGTAGAGCGAGCAAAAATAATAAATGACGAAGTGGACAAACTCTTAAAGATAGGATCCATAAGGGAAGTGCAGTACCCGGAGTGGGTAGCAAACACCGTCATGGTCAAAAAGAAGAATGGAAAGGACAGGGTATGCATCGACTTCACGGACCTCAATAAAGCGTGTCCAAAGGATAGTTTCCCGCTCCCGCATATAGACCGGCTCGTAGAATCTACTGCTGGGAATGAACTATTAACTTTCATGGATGCCTTCTCGGGTTATAATCAAATAATGATGAATCCCAAGGACTAGGAAAAAACGTCATTCATCACTGATAAAGGTATTTATTGTTATAAAGTAATGCCTTTTGGTTTAAAAAATGCAGGAGCAACTAATCAACGGTTGGTCAATAAAATGTTCCACTATCATCTCGGGAAAACAATGGAAGTCTACATAGATGACATGTTGGTTAAGTCGTTAAAGAAAGAAGACCACGTTAAGCATTTGGAAAAATGTTTCGAAATTCTTAAACAATATCAAATGAAGCTAAACCCGGCGAAGTGCACATTCGGAGTCCCGTCCGGGGAGTTTCTTGGCTATATTGTGACAAAAAGGGGAATTGAGGCCAATCCAAATCAAATCAACGCCTTTCAAAACATGCCATCTCCGAAAAACTTCAAGGAAGTACAGCGGTTGACTGGGCGGATTGCGGCGTTGAATCGTTTTATTTCAAGATCAACGGATAGATCTTTACCTTTTTATCAAATTCTAAAAGAGAACAAATGATTCCTTTGGGATGAAAAGTGTGAAGAAGCCTTTGGGCAACTTAAGGCATACTTAACTACTCCACCTGGGTTGTCTAAACCCGAGATGGATGAAAAGCTTTATTTGTACGTATCAGTTTTGGATCATGCGGTTAGTGGAGTCTTAATCTAGGAGGACCGCGGGGAGCAAAAGCTGATCTACTACATAAGTAAGTCAATGACAGATCCAGAAACCAGATATACAATGATGGAAAAACTCGCACTTGCGGTAGTGACTTCAGCCCGGATGCTGCGCCCATATTTTCAATCCCATCCAATCGAAGTATTAACAAACAAGCCACTTCGAACAATACTTCATAGTCCAAGTCAGTCCGGACGGTTGGCAAAGTGGGCGGTAGAGCTGAGCGAGTACGATATAGAATACAAAAGCCGAGTCAGCATGAAGGCCCAAGTTTTAGCAGATTTCCTGACCGAATTACCAATGCCTGGCGTGCTAGAGCAACCGGAGAACCGAACTTGGAAGTTGCACGTGGACGGATCTTCATCAAAATAAGGATCCGGAGTGGGAATCAAGCTGGAGTCCCCCACATCGTTCTGATTATTGTTTACTGATTATTGTTTAATGCTTCCAACAATGAGGCAGAGTATGAAGCCCTAATTGCCGGAATTCGATTAGCTCAAGGAGTTGGAGCTGATTGTGATTCACAATTAGTAGTTAATCAGTTCAATAGAGACTATGAGGCCAAAGATTCAAGAATGGAAGCATATCTTGAAGTTGTAAAGGATCTATGAAAAAACTTCAAGAAATTCGAGCTAATTCGTATATCTCGAGGAGAGAATACAACAGCGGATGCACTTGCTACACTAGCATCAACGTCAGATCCTGCATTGAAAAGAATCATTCCGGTAGAATGCATCTCAGAACGAAGCATTAAAGAAGACAAAGAAACTCTCGTCATTACAAGATCTCGAGCAGCGACGCGTGATCGTGGTGAACCTGAGATCGAGCTGCCACCCGTCAAACGGAGAAAATCAAGAGGGTCAAACATATCTGAACCTAACATATCCAAGGAAAGCGGTAGCGAGGAGCCTGTTATCCTGTCAGAAGGCGCAATTTCGGGAACAGTTAGAGAGACCGGGTCGTTAATCGAAGAGGGTACTCTTGAACCAAACGAACATCCCGAACCAGAACCACATATATTCCATGAAGACGACCAAATTCCGGCTAAAGACTGGGGGGCTGATTGGAGGGAGCCAATAAAGCACTACATTAAGACCGGCGAGCTCCCAAAAGATAGATGGCAGGCCAGAAAAATGAGAACCGTTAGCGCAAAATTTTGTCTATCAAAGGATGCGTTGTATAAACGAGGAGTCAGCGACCCTTACCCGCTGTGCGTTTTTGGACCCGAAGTCAAAATTGTCATGAGCGAGGTGCACGAAGGTCTGTGTGGGAGTCATTCGTCAGGAAGGGCTATGGCTTTCAAAATTAAAAGAATGGGGTATTTCTGGCCCACTATGATCACGGACTGCGTCAAGTTCGCCCAGAGGTGTGAGATGGTCGATGGATATCATTGGTCTATTACATAGATCAACTCGAGGAGTATAGTACCTTTTGGTTTTGACAGATTACTTTTCGAAGTAGATTGAAGCTGAAGCATACGGTAGCATCAAAGATTCGGCGGTAAATACTTTCATTTGGAAAAATATCATATGTCGACATGGGGTTCCATACGAGATAGTAACTGATAATGGGCCGCAGTTCATTTCGCACGAGTTTGAAGCTTTTTGTTCGGATTGGGGAATCAAAGTTAGTTACTCTACCCCACGGTATCCACAAGGAAATGGCCAAGCCGAGGCCACGAACAAGACAATTTTGAGCAACCTCAAAAAACGCTTGAATCACCTAAAAGGAGGATGGTATGATGAGCTCCAACCCGTCCTGTGGGCTTATCGCACAACCCCTAGGCGATCTACTGGAGAAACTCCGTTCTCTTTAGTTTATGGCATGGAAGCGGTAGTACCGGCTGAACTCAACGTACCTGGACTTCGCCGAACGGAAGCACCGTTGAATGAAGAGGAGAATTCAGCAATGCTTGATGACTCGCTAGATACCATTAATGAAAGGCGAGATCAAGCTTTAATTCGGATTAAAAATTACCAGCAGGCAGCAGCTCGATACTACAACTCCAAAGTCAAAAGTAGGCCGTTCTTTGTAGGAGATTGTGTGCTAAGACGAGTCTTTGACATAAAAAGGAGGAAGGCGTAGGGAAACTCGGTATTAATTGGGAAGGACCTTACAATGTTACTGAAGTGGTTCGCAATGGCGTTTATAGATTGAAAGACTTAGAAGACAGGCCAGTCAAGCGACGTTGTAATGTAATCAACCTAAAGAAGTTTTACGTTTAAGTGACACGCATTTTTATTATGTACATGAACTACTGTGTGGCTTGATCCCAAAATGGGTACGTAGGCAGCTCGGAAACGAGTTCAGCTACTAATAAAATTTGTTTTTATTTTAGAAAAGAGTTCGGCTATGCAAACGGACAAGATGAATAAAGTTCGACTGGGCGAACATACAGGAACTGGAAACAAAACATTTATTTAAGCTAATAAAAACGAAGTGTCGATCTTCACACACTTCGAGTTAGGGAAATCTTCTTGATGAGCAGAACACTTCAGCTCTATGACCAGCGTGATCGAGAATCGGCATCATACAGTCCGGAATACGAGCAAATTCGGAGATTCCAAGCTCGATCCATTCTCCAGGGTGAGAGCCGAGGACATGAAGATCTTTCGATATCGCAGTAACCCTGCGATGCATTCGATTAATCCTTTTTCGGAGTTTCCTCCTTTCCAGCGTTAGCTTCCAGTGTTGAATCGCAAGCGCCCTTATGAATTCCATCGATGTTTCTTGGTCTCTGACTGGTAGGTCCTTGATCAAGGCGCACGGGGCTCGGATCTGGGATCTGAAGAAGCCGCGAGGTGGAGAAGGCCGTCTACTCGGCACGTTTGGAACATCTTCATCCATTATTCCGACCCTGGAGAAGTCTGGCATAGACTCTGAGCATCGAAGGTTGAACTCCATACCTGCAAAAAGAAAAGAGAATGATGAAGGATAAAGAGAAGATGAAGTTACAATTTATAAGGACACCATATCCCTAATAAGCCGCGGTTTCCATCCTGGAACAGAGTGATTCTCGGAAAGATTTATGCCTTAAACCAATCCTGCATTCAAGATATGTCTCCGAAAATATTTCGAAAAAGGAAGGTAAAATTTTTTTCCATAAACAAAATGGGCTGAAGCCCATTACGAGTCCAAGAGTTTTTAAATAAAAACGAAGTGAAATAAAGCAAGCGGAGTTTGGGACATTTATGGAAGAGGCTCAGGAACAGGCTCCTTCATCGCCGGTTTGGACTTCGAAGTGGACGCCTCTCTCTTGTCATCCTCTCCGGGTCTGCTCCGGACACGCTTACAAGGATTGTCGTCCTCCTTCTCTTCCTCCTCTTCACTGTCGAGCGGGGCGACTTCGACCGGAGTATTCACGGGGCCCGGAACCTGACCTCTACCGCGAAGATACATCCGGAGCATCCTCGGGATCTCTGCAATAGAATCAAAGTTCCTCCACTCCCATTGAAAAAGATCACTCTCGAAAGCCCTTACTTTCCTCTCCACTCGAGCAATGCGAGCCTCGAGTGTTTGCCTTTTAAGACCCAGCCTTTGCCGTTCATCACACAAATGGCGATGTTTGTCGACGACCTGGCATGGAGATGGGTAAATTAAAAAAAAATGAGGCGGAAAGTTTTGATGAAAAAGAGCGTATACTCACCTTGTCCATGAAATCATACGCCTCTTTCTTCTCCCTTGAAGGAAAGTGAAACACGGCGTGAGGAAAGAGAACACCGGCCGGCTCGAAACCATCGCCGGATAGGAAGAGTGGGCTGCCGGTGTCAACGGGGGCTACGTTTTTGTTTTCCATTATTGTGGTGTTTACCGAGAGAATTCTAAAATTCCTTTGAAGAAAGTTCAGAGGCAAGTAAGTCCCTATTTATAATAGGGCTAGGGTTTGTCTTGGAAACGAAAATTCAATAATGATGGCGTGACCGAATGGTTTAAACCATTTTTGGAAATCGGAAAAAATAATTATTGCCTTAAAGGCATGTAGTTTTACCTATTTCTCAAAGAATTGGAAAAGCAGCGGTCGCATTAAAGACAAATCTCATTAAAAGCAAAGTAAAAAAATCGAGGCCCAAGCCCAATAAATTTACCGAGCTAACTAAATCCGAAGTGGGTAAGTCTTGTTAAGCCGAGCTCAGTTCTCGCATTCTAAGAGAAAGGTCTGATCAGCCTAGAAAATCTCGAAAAACATAGCCACAAGGCCAAAAAGTGTTAAAAGCGGACTTTGCAAACCCGCACATTATTTTAATCAAACCCTCTAGGGGCTATAACTTAAAAAAGGTTTAAAAGCCTCCTCAGGCCAATATTTTAAAAAATGTAATGAAGCCTCCTTAGGCAAAAACATATCCAAGGATAAATTTTAAAGTTCTCACATGAATGGGACAAGCTCCAATTTAAAGTAGACGCAGCCACTACGGGTCAACAGCCACCTCGGATTCGATTTCGGTTATCAAGGTTTCACCCATCTCCTTGGCTGGGACTTGTTCAGAGGATGTTTCTTGCTCGTTTCCAACAGCACAATCATCATCCGGGATGACCACCGGGGTGGCAGGAACCTCGAATGGAGCAACACATTCTGTCTCACTTGGACCTAGGAGGGACAATCCCAATCAGTCAAAAATAAAAGGCAAAGTAGAAGACAAGTGTCAAGGAGTATGAACTCACCAGCCCAGTCTAAACCCGATTCACCCAAGGGAGGTGACTCGGTGAAGAACTCCTCGAACTGCTGAGGGTTGAAAGAGGAAGCGGGAATAGCTGCTAGGCGACCTTGTTTCTCGGCTAAATTAGCCGTCAGCTCGGACCATTCTTGCTCCTCAGAGAAACCCTCTTCATGAAGTTGGTCTAGTAGGAGTAAATTGCTCTCGTGCTCCTTGATATCCGATTCGAGAATCGATCGCGCTTTCTCGGTTTGCATGAAACGGATGGCCCCTTGAATCAACTCCATCCCGTGTCCCTTGACCTTTTTCCTGGCCTTCGATGCTGACCTTGCCAACTCGGAGTCCCGCAGCTTGGCTATCGCCTTGTACTTCACGTCAAGTTCGGCAAGTTGGTTATTCAAGGAATAGGCGGTCGATTCGGATTCATAGAGTCTACCTTGAACGCCGGAAAACTCATCCTGAAGTTGGTTATTCCGGTCGTACTGGTCTTGCAGCTCACCTTTCACCTTCGCGATTCGATCTTCCAATTCGTGCTTAGATTGTCGACTCGATCTTCCAATTCGTGCTTAGAGGAGTGGAGGTCGGCCTCAAGAGCAGAAAACTTACTCTTCCACGTATCGATTTCCTGTCCCCGACTGAGCAACAGTCCCTCATAGTGTTCAACTATATCATTGAGTTCGCCGTTTTCCTGGCATTATGTATAAACCCGGGGTGGTGAGTTAGTGCGAAGGATGATAACAAAACCGAAAAAATGAAGTGAAACTAACGCGAGATGAATGGTACGCATGAAGCAAGTACCGTTCACGAATTGCAGGACGCCACTTATCAAAATCCGGCAGGATCGCACCCGATCGAGTTTTGAAGCATCGAAAGACGCTACCCTCTTTCTCCATGGCTGTGAAGGCAGAAGAGGAAAAGTCTTAAAATTTGGAATATACACAAGGCGAAAAGAAACATATATATATATATATATATATATACTTATCATCATCAGACCTGAAAGTGATTTGGTCTGAGGGACAAGAACAGCCTTCGACTTCGAGGGAGCATCTCGAGACTCAGAACTCCCCTTTTTAGGAGATGCGCTCCGAGCAGTCTTCTTGCCACTATGTTGGGAAGAGGAGGACATGTCAATAGGAGGAGGAGGACTTATTGGTTCAGTAGGAGGGGACGATCGAGGAGAACGGTCAGTCCGGGCCCTTGACTTCTCCCTCTGCAGAGAGGAACCACTGCGAGTTGACCTATCTCTTTTCTTGCGGATCAAATTCTTAAGCGGTTTCTTGCTAAAATCACCTCGGGGAGGACGAGGAGAGTCACGATGAAGAGATCGGGCCCTCCGAGGAGAACGATCATCACGACGTTCACGATGTGGTGTCAACCTATAAGCAGCAACGGATCTGGTTCCTTCGGCGCTATTATCGTCAACCATTAAGGTCCTACTGTAGTCCTTCTTGTCGATAGCAACCGCAAGAAACTCCTTTTTCTCCTTGCAAGCTTCAGTTATCGGTTTGGAGAGCGCTTTGCGCTTGGCTGTAAGGGCTCGAGATGACAATCCCTGAGTTGAGGGGGGAGGCGGAAGATGGTGGAGTTGACCTGGGGGACTCATCCTGAGTTTGTGGTTGGCTTCTATAAATCGCTCGAGAGTGAAAGAATTCCAAAGGGTTTCCCTTTCGAGAATTATTTTGAAGAATCCAATGAATTCTTCAGATAGGAGAGTCGGAGCGACGAAAGCTGCAAAGTGAAACAACGAGTTTAATCAATAAAAATAATAAAACAACCGGAAAAGATATATGCGACCTAATTTCTACCAGACTTCGCAGACCACTTCGATGGGAGTAAATCTGAAAGATTTCCGATCGAAGCGGGAGTTTTCTTAATCAGAAATCAAGGATGGTGCCAATTTTCATCCTTGTTCGGAAGGTGCGAGATGATGTTTCTGTTGGCGTTTGGATACGCTGAGAAAAACCCCGTTTTCTTCGATGAACTCCTCACGCTTAGAAGCTCGTTCAGCTCGGCGACTCCGATAATATATCCGGCCTCCGCCACAACTGTTATAATTCCGAGGATGATTCGAAGAAGATTGGGGGTTAATTGAGGAAGAGCGATTTCAAGAGCCGCTAGGTATCGAACTAGGGCTTCGGGAAAGGGAAAGATTAATCCGCAACCCTTGAAATAGATCTCGTATACACAGAAGTAGCCATCGCGGGTGTTTTCTGGGGACTCCGTGGGATCGGCTATTTGTGCCTCCGCCATAATTCCCGGTGGAATCCGGCAAAGCTCCTTCAATCGCTCGAGGGATTGAAGAGTACAGGTGGATCTGTAGTGCGGACCAGCGATGTCGTTAGGGCGGGTGCACTCGTCATTACTAGAACGTCTCTCGTCGAAGGACGGAGACTCGGGTCTATCAAAATCAGAAGTCATCGGGAGGAATGAAAAATTCAAGTCTCGGGAAAGATAAAACTTGAAGAAGAAAGCAGAGAGAATTTTTAACCGCAAAGGACAAGAATAAAAGTAATAATGAAAAGAAGGTTACCTCACGCAAGCTAAGTGGTAATGATGGAACCGCCTTGGGAGTCGTGGGGGAAGTGGAAAGGTGTTTCCCGCTTTAATAGTAAATAATTAAGATACGGTCATAATGGTGACAGATGTCACGCAGGTAAATATGGATAGCGCCGAGATTAAAGGACTGATGAGATCTTGGCGGGAAAATTAGAGGATTCTCAAGCGCAATCTTTGGTCATTAAAGCATAAAAGTCTTCCGAATTGGAATGGCACTTCGAAAGACTTGGGGGGCTAATTGTTGGTGTCGGATCCCGCACGGATGGTTCGGGACCAACCAAAGATTGCCACATAGGCAGGAGAAAAGCCCACGAGGGATAAGGCCCATTAGATCCACAAGCCAAGGGTGTGGTCGAGGTGGTTACACCACGAAGGAAGACCGAAGTGGCTGCATCTCGGGATGAGAACGGAGTTGATGTCGCGGGTAGTTCGGCTCGATATTATTTGGGCTGAAGGGCGAGGCCCATGAAGATCGGAATCAATTCAAATTCGAACGTTTGAGCATTAAACTCGAAGACTAAAACGGACACATTTAAGAGAGAATAATTGTATTCAATTAGGAATTAAATGTCGTTTGTTAGTATAAATATAAGGGCCAAAAGTCATGTAACACACACGCAATTCTTTCTAACAATTATACTATAGCTTTTTCTTAATTCATAGCCTTTGTGTAACAATTTCTATACTCAAGAGTATTCATTCTCACTAAATAAATAAATATTTGAGTGTGTGAATCCGACTTCCACATCACGTTTTTATCAATGGCGTGACTGAAGGTCTCCATGGCGTCTGAAGGTTTGCGGTGACTGAAGGTCTCCATGGCGTCTCACATTTCTCTCTTGCCAAATGTGATACAGAGAGGCTTGGAATACGTATCGGAACAAAAAAAGACTATGTCGTGGGAGAGTTAAGGTGCATAACAAGGCGATTGTAATTTTGTTCCCAAACTTTTCAAGTTTGTGTTTACGTATGAGGAGAGAATGAAGTCGATAGAAATTAGAAAGAAAAAAAAAAGAAAAACTTGGGGAAAATTCCCTAAAAAAGCCCCACTTATTTAATATTTGCCAGAAAACTACCTAAACTTTTTTCGTTGCCAGAAAAATACACAAACTAATTTGGGTTGGAAATAAAAAACACGATCTAATTTTTTTTTCCGATTACCTCCCTTCGCCATAACGGCCGTCAATGACGTTAACGAAATCATCAAACGTTTTTAGTTTTATTTACGAAAAATTCTAGAAAAAACCCAACTTATTTAATATTTGCCAAAACAATACCTTAACTTTTTTTCTTTGCCAGAAAAATATACAGATCAATTTAAAGTTGAAATAAAAAGCACGACCTATTTTTTGTTCCAATTTTACCCACTTTATTGTAACAGTTATCAACATGTTAACCAAATAGTAAATACCGTTATTTTTCTCATTTTTTTTGCACATGATAAATAAGAATGGCTAAAAAACCGATGTTATCCCCTTATAAAATCAAAATCGATATAATACTTATATTAAATCCTAGTTTTAACATACAACATCTATCTATATCTGATGCGAACAACAATAAATTGAAGAAATTAAGAAGAACCTTCGGCTAACAAAGTGGGTAAAATTTCTTTAATTTACTGTTGTTCACATATGATAGATTGTTGAAAAAAGCATTAGCAATTTAGAAAAAGTTACACATTAATAACATGATTTTAGTTGATATTACTGAAGAACTGAAGGTTTTAGAGGATTTCTTTAATAAGTCAAGTTTTTTTTAGGAATTTTCCTTAAACAAAATTAAAAGCATTTGACGATTTGGTTGGAGAAATCCTTTAAAAAAAAAACGGATCGTGTTTTTTATTTCCAAGTTAAATTAGTCTGGGTATTTTTATGACAACAACAAAGTTCATGTATTTTTTGGCAAATATTAAATAAGTCGGGGAGTTTTTTAGGAATTTTTCCGTAAATAAAATTAACAGCATTTGACGATTTGGATAACGCTGTTAACGGCCGTTACAGCGAAGGGAGGAAATCAGAAAAAAAAATTAGTTAGTGTTTTTTATTTCCAACCCAAATTAGTTTGTGTATTGTTCAACGAAAAAAGTTTAGGTAGTTTTCTGGCAAATATTAAATAAGTGGGGCTTTTTTAGGGAATTTTCCCGAAAAACTTGAGAAGATAATTAAGATTTTTAAACATATCCAATATATCATAGAGTAATCTAAGTAAATGCATAGTAATTAATAGTAGAACTTAAATCATAGTAGAGAGTATTTGGTTGTGGAAACAACCTCAAATTCGATATCTACATTAAAAGTATCTTCCATGTCCAAGTAAGTCTTCCTAAGATCATCTATAGACATAAATTGAGGGTATCCCCAAGTCAAGATAATGTCGCTTTTCAATTTTAAAGACAAGAGAAAAGATTGAATGATGAATTATCAAAAAGCAAATGTATAATCATTGGGGACTACTTAGTGAATATGCATGCCCTACGTACCAGTTGTACCCACCGGAGGAGAAAACTCGGGACTGATATTTGCCATGAGAGATGCGAGTCGAATTCTCGGGTTCGGAGAAGTTTTGGATCTTGAGTGAATACGAAGAAGGAAAACGTTCTCTCAAGCTTTTACATGATCCAAAAAATGACCCTTCTACATCCAAAGCTTTGTTGTAAGTCCGAAGGTTATATATATATATATATATATATATATATATCTACAAGAGAGCGGGAGAAGATTTGTCTTGCAAATTATTAGAGATAAATCTACATTTATTATGATAAAGATTATTAGTACAGAACCGCTTCATATCACATATGTAAACAACATTCTTCAGTAATGACTCTTTTGAACTTTAATACTATACTCATATTTCCTAAAGATTCAGGTATATCTTGAATATAATCCCTTTAAGATAAATTTTACATTCATTAAGAAAAAAAAGAATAATTATATATATATATATATATATATATATATATATATATATATATATATATATATATTCAAAATCTTGTGATTTCGCTTTAATTTAGTTTTTATATGAATCGGTAGAAATTTTTTTTTCTTAATTAATGTAAAATTTATCTTAAAGGGATTATATTCAAGATATACCTGAATCTTTTTTTTTCAAATTATATTCAAGATATACCGTAGAATTGGCAAATTTTTGTTGTTTCTAAACTAAAGCGAAATAACAAGATTTTTTTTTCTTTTCTTTAATGAATGTAAACTGTTGCATCATTCTTGAGAAATTTTGAGAAAAACTTTATCCTCCAAAACCTTACCGGTTAAGCCTGAGTAGAAAATCAAAGTGAAACTGTTGTGTGGCTCTCTAAACGTTATGTTTTTACTTTTTACTGGTATCACACACAAATTAAATCATGGAATTGCTAGTGCCGTTGAGAAACAATCTTAAGAACTCGACGAACTCATTCGTCTTTATAAGTTTTCTTCAATTATTTGAGGTGATGAGATTCACCACACTTTTGAACAAGAATGTGTTTCTCGTTTCCATGTCTATCATTGAAAATTTGAAATACTTTTTTTTGTTGTAATTTACATTCTACAACAAAACAAAACAAAAAATTGTTTTTGTTTCAAAAAGTAAAACTTTAAATTTCTTAAAAAGTTCAAAGTCTAAAACAATTTTACTTAGTTTTTTGGTTGTAACTCCTAGAATTTCTACTATACACTGAAAGAACCAGTGAAATTGAACCAATCAAACTTAAATTTCTTAAGAAGTTCAAAGTTAAAAACAGTACAGTGTGACACTACAAGAAAAATGGCTTTTCGTAGCATCCGAATAACGCTATCTAACTATTCTATAGCGTTTTGACAAGCGCTATATCTGCGCCCGTCATAATAGGTATGCCACTTTCGATAACGTTTTTTAGCACTGCTATCGTATCTTAGTCAAATATAACGTTTTCTTTTATGTAATTGTATATTTTACAAAAGCAATTATACTTTGTTACGAATTGTTATATTCATAGCACTTTATATATGTAACCATTTTTGTAAATGTTCTCTAGGTTTTCTATTTTGATTTTTTGGATTATTTGACAAATTAAAAAAGAAAAATGTCATATTTTATTACATTTATATGAAAACCATATACAAAAGACCTATATTACAAAGTAAAAGGACAAAATAAAAAATAAATTTCATACAACTCTTGTTTTTAACTTGTGAATTCTTCACACCTTGGACCTCTTGGACCTCCATCTTTGAAACTTCTTCTCCGTAATCATCAACAATATTAGCTTCCTCCTTTGCCAAGAGCTAAGCAACAAAACAAGACCAATAAAGAAATGTAAAAACTCAAACTTTGTGTGAAAAGAATCTAGGAAGTGGCAATTTCATAGAGAAAACAAAGTCCATATTCAAATCCAAAAACACAAACACAAATTGCTTTAAAATCATAGCTTTGTCGGCATGAGTAGAACGGATCTATTGAGTGAAAAAATCACATCAGCTCAATTCAATAAATCAACATAGCTTATAACAAAACTGAAAAAATTAAACCTTGAGGAACTGAGTATGAGGAAGAAACCTAATCAATTCTCTAGTTGAAATGATTCTCCAAAACTGAGACTAACAACCACCGCCATCTATAGCGCCCAAAATTGAATCTGCATAAACCATATGAGAAGAAGGAGCAACCTTAAGAACTCTCATCTGAACTGTTTCTTCATTAACAACCAGATCTGAGAGTGAGAGGAAGATCGAAAGAGGAGAGGAAAAGAGAGAGACGACGAGAGGGAATGAAAGGAGAAACTTACATCGAAGACTTGAAAGCACTCGTTGGCGCTGCTCCGAAGGGAGATGAAGGTGGATTTGAGGAAGAAGAGGCTCCGAACAGAGATGATGCTGTAACAGTCGATTGAAGCGCAGGTTTAGAGGCTAGTGAAGTTGCGGACGATGCAGGATCTGAAATGGTGGATCCTAAATAGGCAAATCTGGAACTAGGGTTTGAGGATTTGGTGAAAGAAAAAGATGGGGAAGTGGTAGATGAACCGGAAGTTTCCCTCGACTGATTAGCTGATTTTTTCAATGGATGGGCAAACGAGAAATTGATTCACTCAATTGATTTTCACTCAAGTAGAAGATAATCAATTTTTCATACGCTCTCTCAGTTGATTCTCTCTTTTTCACCTAGTTAAGGAGCAGCCACCGAAATTTTTTTAGTTCACAGATAAAATAAGTCAAAAAGTTTTACAACAAAAAATTGGCGGCCATGAAAAATAGATGCGGGTACTAAATAATTTTTAGGGTTAACTCTATGATAACGTTTTAAAAATTGTATATACTATTACAATACAGACGATGTTAAAAACCTAAAGAATTAAAAAAAAATAAGCGGAAGCACAATATTTTCACAAACCCAATATATTATAGCGTTTGTCTATTTATAAACGCTATAGAAAAATTACGAATAAGTCAACAATAGCAAAACACACATAAACGCTATCTTATAATGCTATTAAAACTCAATATTCTTGTAGTGTGAGAAGACACCTAGACCAGTCAGAGTAGCACCATGCTGTTAGCGTTAACGGAGAATCAGCCCGAAGCAAAATCCCTTGGCTGGGATGACTTTTATTTAAGAAATCTGACCACCCGAAGTGCAGCTTCCCAATGAAATATATTTGGTTGTTTCATGAAGTGAGTCAAGATATGAATAGCAGGTCGAGTAAGCGAGAGATATATCAACCGTTCAACTAACCTACGGTAACGAGCTAGTTCATGAAGTTATAAAAAATGCGGAAAGATGCTTAAAACATTATAAAAGGAAAAATCATTGCTAGCTACACGAACTATACGCCAACACATCTATCACTGCACATGCAGACTATTTTAATGTCTCGCTAACTACACGAAGTACTGGTATTATATACGGACATCCCCGAACTATCATCGGTTATGTGTGCAACACCATAACCATCATTTTCAGATAATATAAATGTCTTGTTAACTAGACGAAGTATTTCTTTTTTTTGTCAACTACACGAAGTATTTTCCATCAATTTTTTTTTTAAAAAGTAATAAAATAACTAAAAAGTAAATATTACGCTATTATAAATTATATATATATATATTATAACTTTTAATGCATTATACTTTTAAGTTAAATTAATTTAACTAATTTAATTTTTATTATATTAAATTGTTAAAAATTTAAAATAGTCACTTAGTTAAATTATACATCACTATAAGTTAAATAAAACTAAATAATATATCAATGTAAATTATATACCATAATTATCATTTCCAGATAATATAAATGTATTGTTAACTACACAAAATATTTCCATCATTTTTAAAAACTAAATTACAAAATTAAAAAATAACTAAAAGTAAACAATACACTATTGTTAATTATATATATGCATTATAACTTTTAAAGTTTAAATCTACATATTGTGGATGTAGGATTCACACTCGATTATCTTTAAGTATTTTTGTGGAGAAAAACTCTTGTAAAATCAGGAAATGAATATGAGAATTTGAAAAGGAAATCAACCAAGAAAAGAAATGAAGAAAAATTGATAAAGACGAAGTACAAAATGCCTTGCGAAAGATAGTAAAGAGAGAAAATATATTGTATTGCTCAGAAGTAATGAATAGTCGCTTCTCCCCTCAAACACATGCGTTTGAGGTTGTTTTTATAGAGAAAACATGATCAATGCGGTCATTTACTGCTCATAATCGCATTGATCCGCATTAATCATATAAGTTACATTTTGACCGAAACGACTTGAATTTGAACTATTTTGGGCTTCGTGCGGATCTTCCGAACTCTTTCTTGTTGACTCCGAACTCCCGCGTCTTGACGATGCCGCGAACCTCGAACAATATTCTCCTCGCTTCGGCCTTTCTCTATGCGAACTGTATGTTGAATAAGAGCGAACTCCGTACTGGTAAAGATCGAACTCCCGACTGGTCAAGCTTGATTCTCATAATAAAATATCTTTAACTCCAAGAGGATTATTATGTAATAATGACATGGACAGATCCAAGTGGATCCTACAAAAAATGTGTGGGATCCGACCCCAACACATATGCAGTATCCCTTATAATTTTAAGTTAAATTAATTAACTATTTTTTAATGCACACATATATTTTATATGAAATTAATTTAACTAAATTTTTAAAAGTGTCACTTAATTAAATTATAATTTACATTGATATATGTGTGCATTATAATTTAAATTGATATATTATATAGTTTTATTTAACTTATTAGTTTTAAAAAAAAATTGATGAAAATACTTCGTGTAGTTGACAAAAAAGGAAATACTTCGTGTAGTTAACAAGACATTTATATTATTTGGAAATGATGGTTATGGTGTTGCACACATAACCGATGATAGTTCAGGGATGTCCGTATGTAATACCAATAGTTCGTGTAGTTAGCGAAACATTAAAATAGTCTGCATGTGTGGTGATGTGTTGGCGTATAGTTCGTGTAGCTAGCAATAATTTTTCCTATTCCTGAAGTTAAACTAAGACCATCCTTATTGATGGTCTCTTAAGACAACTCTTATGTTAAGAGACATGTCTTAAGAGACCATCAATAAAAATGGTCTAATACATCTTAAAACGAAGAAAAACCAGAATATAAATTTAAACAATAAAAAAAGGCTATATATTTTTCAAAATTGAAATTATAGTTTGGTTTAGTTTTGACGAAAAATATCATTATAAAAAAACAAAAATAATTACCTGATTTTAACTAAAATGGTATATATATATATTAAAAATATTAGTTCTTTTTATGAAATATTGATTAGTTTGGTTCACTTTTACATAGTTTTGTTCGGTTCGGATCAGAAAATTTGGTATAACAATTTATGTTTTTTCGGATTATTTAATAACTCTGTTTATAAAAACTTGGTTCAGATTCGTTCGGGTTTTACCGATCGGCATCGCCGAAGTTATTCAAACAAACATCACCCATATGAAAGACGCACGTAAAATAACCTTGGCAAGATTCTGCTGAATGAACAAACATCATTCATAAAGTTTAAATAACATTAAAACAAAGAATGCCATAAACAATTATTGTGCTATAATGACAACGTAGATTTAGCGACATAATAATTAGTGGTTACACCCGAATTTTAAATAGATTTTAATTAGTTATGGATGGTTATGGATAAACTTTGTAGCTAGACGATTTTAGCCACTTGTAAAAACTTTGTATTTCTATGGTCATTTGTAACACGGTGTGGCACTCATTCTGCTTTTTTGTGGTCACGACACATTACACGAATCTTAACCACAAAATGTAACCAACGTATATAAGACTCTTGTATTGCTACTCTCGAGATGACCTATGAGTAATAAATTACTCAGCGAGTGCATTCCCGTCACCCACGTAATCCACAACAATCATCCAAACAATTTAGCATGCATACACATAGCAATAGGACAGAACACACACCTCATGAACATACTCAAGCAATCAAGCAACCTAATAAACATATCATTCTATGCATTGTAAGTGCGGATGAGGTAAGATAAATTGCAGAAAGTAAACGAGACAAGAAATTTGTTAACGATGTTCGGTTTTTCCTACTCCCCGGGACCACGTCCAGATTTCGATTCCACTAGAATAAGAAAGCAAATACAACCTATTCGCAAACGCGTAAATCAAGCACAACCCTCTTGATTCACCGCTCCATTCTATTAACATGAAATCTTAAGGATAAATCTCTACCCTTAACTAAACTCTCATGAGCCTAGATTTAATCAGGATAACCTAACCCTTAAGCTAAACTCCCCCTGAGTATAGACTTCAATTCTCCAAGTCTCTAGAAAAACCACCACACACGAACAGTCACGTCAACGAACCCAACGATCACCAAGATTCTCCAATATGAACCATTGCCACCAACACACAAATAAGCTTGGTCACACAAGCATTTAACCCGCGAAACTATGTCACACACGATCACACACACAATCTCTCACATCGAATCTCTTTGGGATTTTTACTCTTGCCAATCCACCTTCTCATAAGGTCACGTCCTCCTTATATAACAAACTTGCACCTCAAGTTCTTCCAATCACACATAAGAGAAAGTTTACAAATCCCATAAAGAAAAGGTTTTCCTTTTTGCCAATTTCCTTTTCTCTTCAAGCAAACTTCCCTTTACTTACATGATTCCTTTTGTCTTCAAAAAAATATAATTTTTCTTTTCTTGACTTGACAAACGCTCCAACACCCAAATACTCGAGCTCCTCATCAGCAGTTATGCATCTCATCTTCCTGAATCACATCTTGTACTACTTCAACGACTAGTACAGAACACCAAAGTAAACGCATCTTCATGCATCACTACACTCACTCTACATCCTTAGCTAATGGTCACTAATAATCAGTAGCTAATTAGTTTTAAAAACTTGATTCTGCTGGATTCTCTGTAAGTATATTGTACATCTTCTTACATCTATATCTTTACTTGGCCTTAAATCACTCTATTTCTCCTCTTTTTTTAATTAGGGTATTAGTGGATTCTGGTTGTTCCTGTCAGACCGCTTCAAGTATATAGTACCCCAACGATGAAGCATGTAGCTCCATGGTGTGACATGCATACTTTCTCTAAGCATCTAAACCATCCTTTACCTCTGTCTTTTGATGATACTAACTGGTAGAATCCTATTCTCCCACTTCTCATTACCATCATCGTTGTGATCCTCTTCTAGTCCTCAATTTACACTGTGGAATGAGCATAATCAGCGTTTGTTTGTGTTAACGTCAAGGCTTTGATTATTCTCAACGCCGAGATCTCTAGCAACCATCCGTTACAAGCTCTAAATCCTGGACAAGAAAATTTATTATGTCACTCATATTCCTATTGAGTACTCTTTCCTCTCCCTTTGGTTCATCTACAAATCTTCTACCAAGACCACACACTCTAATATGTTTAAGGCCTGTTCTGTTTTTTTTTTTTTTTTTTTGACGTCTAGATTTATTATTTATTGCAAATTATGAGAACTGTTACATAGACGATTCTACAACGGACAATTCCTTCCGACCCTTATTAGATCCACGACAGACGACACTTCCTTCTCCATGCTCTTGACGGACACCTTCAATGATCCACGACCTGACGACATTTCCCTCTCTGCGTAGAATCCTGGCGAACGGCTATAATTGTACTTCGCTGGAGATCTCCTGCACAGTTGCCTCCTTTAATCTGCAAATTTATTAATAAATCGCAATATCTGGGACTCGAACCCCAGACCTCTTGGTGTAGAAGCATTAATTAACCCTTAGTCAACCAATGGGCCAAGGGGGCTTCGCTGGAGATCTCCTACACAGTTCTGTTTTTGTTTTTGCTTTTTTTTTTTTTTTTTTTTGGCTTATTTAGCTTCATTAGCTTTCGTATTGTGTGACTGAAAAAAGAAAAACTTCTTCCATATCTACCCAATTCAAATTAAACAAAAATAATGTTTGAATTTCTTTGGGCTGAAGCAATCAATCTTTAGGATTGGTCTTTCTTTACTTTCCACATATTCTCTTGGTTTTTCATAAAATAAAGAAAGACTAAACAATATCCTACGAGAAATGTAATCATCTTCCATAGAACTTATCCAAACATAGTTCATGTAAATATCATAACTATGGAAGAATTTCAAAATCAAGAGGACGTGAAAAAAATAACCGAAAACACCAAAAACAAACTCATAAGATAATATATTAAGTGTTTGAAACATATCCAATATATCATAGCAGTCTTCAAAAAGTAGAACTTAATTAAATCATGGGAGGGAGTGTTTGGTTGTGGAAACAACATCAAATTGGATCTCTAGAGTCAAAACACCTTCCATGTCCAAGTAAGTATTCCTAAGTTCATCTATAGACACAAATCGAAAGTATCCCCAAGATGAATTCGATTTGTTGTAGCATTTGGTAACTGCAAAAGACAAAGTTTGTTTGAGATCTCTTCAACTTTTGTTAGCTTAAAAAGGTTATTACATACTATATTATAAGACTTACTTGAGCGTGATAAGTGATTGGATCCTCGTGGATCTAAAATTCGCAAGTAAGCTTGCGTGAAAATCTTTTCATCTTCCTTAAGTGTTTCACAATCAGCAGCAGTGAGAAATATGGATACCCATTTATTATAATCTGCTGTTCTGCTTCCCTTGGGATACAATTCTATAGCCCTAGATGTCATGCACATGTTAATTAAACAATCATTAAGACAAGAGCGTACATATATATTACTCCAAAATAAAGTATTCTTATACCATATCATACTTACCATGTCTTTCCTCCCACTGAAAATCTTTGTGATGTGTGACAATGCCCTAGTATCTCAAAGATATTCTTAACAGGCCAAGAGATCTTATAAGGATAAACGTGTTTTTCATCAAAAGAAAGGATTTCCCAATTGGTAGGGGGTGGTGCAACAATGACATCAACACCAAACTCGCATTGACCTAGACAGACATATCCATTTTCAGGGTCTTTGAATGTACTAAGCGGAAGTACTTGCGGCAATCCCCACACCGATCTAAAAGTATTGAACGGTTTCGATTCTACATCTGGATATATTTGATGATTAGGAAAAAAAAAAAAAAAAAAAGCAGATTACATATGTATAGGAAGAGAAGATGTGTACATACATACCATGAATAGTTAAGTATACTTGTTTTCCTTTTTGTTCAAGACGAAAAATCGAAAATCCGCAAACACCTCAGTTGATGGTGTGGATAGGCTTGAGCTGTCTAATTCCACATACATTGAAATAAAGTCACTTCCGTTATCCTTATCGTTCCCTTTCGGATACAAGATCATTCTCCTGCGTTTGCATAAGTTAAGATCATGCCTCTTTTTCAAAATTTAAGGGCAAGAAAAACAATTGAAATAAAGATTGTTTTGATGATGAATGATCAAGAAGGTGCAACTATTGCGGACTTGTATCTATGCATGCCGTTCGTACGCACCAGTTGTATCCACCAGCGGAGAAAAGACGGGATAGATATTTGCCATCAGCAGAGCCGAGAGCCAAGTTCTCGAGTTGCGAGAAGTTTTTGATCTTGAGTGAATATGAAGAAGGAGAACGTTCTCTCAAGCTCTGGACAGTTGTAGAAGACATTCTTTGACCCAAAAACGACTTTAACTGTGTTGTAATCTAAACAAGAGATCCGAGAAAGAGAAGATTTGAGATAGTCAGAGCAATCATAATTTTCACTAAATACGTTATTATTAGAAGTAGAGGTGTCTCGGAAATACCTAAATTACGAATTCAAATTTTATAATTTATGCACATAATGAATTGAATCTAGATAATAGAAATATGAATATACCTTAAGATTTTGTAGGGGAACTGTGGATCGAAACGACTTGAGGTTGTGTAGCACTCTAAACATCTTGCGTTTACTAGTATCCACACGCACACAAATTTGTTGATCAAACACGGGATGTTAGAGCCGCTGAGATCCTATATATCTCAAGAACTTGATGAACGTTTCGTGTGTATCAAGTTTCTTAGATTACTTGCGTGAGAAGATGTCTCCACACCTTTGAACAAAACCTGTGTTATCGTCTCTGTGGCAAAACCCTTTTATCCTTTGACGAGGGCAACACATACATATATATATCTCGTGAACTATCTGCTTCAAAAAGAGAGTTGGTTGAATGAGACTGAAACCCAATCAGGCATAACAAACCCATCAACAAACCCCCACTTGGTTATCGTGAGGCAACCAACACCACCCAACCTACCAATCAGGCTAAAAGCAGATCCTGGTCAATCTTCTTCTTCTTCTTCTTTCTTTCTCTATGATGTATCTCTGTTGGTGAGTGATGAGAGCTGGTGTTTGTTTCTCTTGTAATAAGTTTCAGATTCATACTCTTGTGAGCTGGGTTAAAGCTCACCAAGACGTACCTTGGTCACCTTGACCCTGGGAACTCGTATTTTCTGTCTTTTTTATTTTCTGCAAAAATCACAACAAACGACAAGTGACGTAAGGCATAAGATTAAGGTATAAAGTTGAATCTAAGCTAAACATTTGCTACAAATGATATCAGAGCCAAGGTTCTAAGGAAATGTGTGAACTTTATCATAAAGCTTTATAGTGAAAGGTTCAAGATTTCATAAGAGAGGTCCAAGTTTTCTTAAGAAAGGTGACATCTTTACTACTAGAAGTGCATATCTGAGTGTTTTGAATACTTGAGAAGGTTCAACAGTGAGTTTATAAAGAAGATGGAGTTAGTCACAGCAGGTAAAAGCTGAAGACATTCTTGTTTAGTTTCTGAATTCCGTGTTATCTTTGAAGTTTTGTGTGTGTGTGTTGGTTCTGAGTTGGTATCCCAAAATTTGACGTTTGTAGTTTTACAAAGTTCAAATGGAACCCACTCAAGACAAGCTTAAGGTAGAGAAATTTGATGGTGAAGGAGATTTCACTTTATGGAAGCATAAGATCCTATTTCCCAAAGACCAAAGATGAAGCATTCTCCAAGTTTGTTGAATAGAAGGCATTGGCGGAAAATCAAAGTTGTAAGAAGGTAAAGCCATTAAGAACTGATAATTAATGGCGTGGAGTACGACAACACCACTTTTCATGACTTTTGCAAGCAGAATTGAGTTATGAGACATGAAATTTGTCCATATACTCTACAACAGAACGAAGTTGTAGAGAGGTTATATAGAAATATTCTTGAGAAGGTTAGAAGCATGTTGAGTGAGACAGATCTGGAAGAATCATTATGGGCCGGACTCCCTCAACACCATTGGAATTCCAAATTCCAGAAGAGCTTTATTCAGGAAGAAAGCCAGAATACTCACACATGACGTGATTTGGCTGTTTGGTTTACAACCATATCGATCAAGGGAAGCTGAAGCCTAGAGCGAAGAAGAGAATTTTTATGGGATAGAATACTATATAGAATTCAAATACAGTAAAACCTCTATAAATTAATAATGTTGGGATCATGATAACTTATTAATTTATAGCGTAAATTAATATTTATTAATTTAAAGAGAGTTTTGTTTCAATTGTGAATTTTTATTTTTAAAATACGAGGTAAAACAATGTGATCTAAATAAAATTTATGTTTTGAATGTTATAAATTTTATAGTTTTAGCTTTAAACACTTAATATTTCGAAGAAAAAATAATTTATTTTGACAATGAATAACAATGATTATAGAGTTCACATATACAAATGATATACATTAATTAAAATTCACAAATAGTGACATCCGTTGTTGTATTTTAAAAACCTATACGACTATTAAAAAAAAATTAAGCATATTCAAAATTTGAAAACTTACCAAAACGTTTGGCTATTTTTTATGAAAAACACTAAAACTATTATATATATATATTTTAGGGGCTTTTGCAAAAATGCCACTTTTTCAATGCCACTGTTCAAAAATACTCCTTTTTAAAATCTTATAAAAATGCTCTTAAAAATATAAGATTTACCCAAATATGTATGTAATATTATTAAAACATACACAAACTACATTTCTATGTATCTAAAATCTTATAAATACTTTATAAATACCTTATAAATGCATTTTAAATACCTTTAAAAACCTTTAAAATATCTTGTAAAACCTTTGAGAAACCTTAAAAATCCTTTAAAATAACTTGTAAAACCTTTAAAAATACCTGATAAAACCTTATAAATACTTGGATCGAGTCTTTAAGTAGTAGTTACAATCCATAAGTACCTTACTAATAAAACTTTATAAAAATTTCAGATTTAAAAAGGGGCATTTTTGAAAATGGACATCTAAAAGAGGCATTTTTGAAAAGGGGCACACCAAAAGGGGTATTTTTAACAATTTCCCTTATATATATATATATATATATATGTATATATATATATATATATATATATATATGTACAAATTTACTTGATTATTAATTTATGATATTATTGGGACTATATTTTTACATAGGGATTTCAAAAAACTTATTATCTTCTTATCTTATCGAATTTGGTTAATTTTTACACTGGCCCGACTCGGGACCGGCCAAATTTATTAATTTATCGTGTTTATTAATTTATCGAGTATTAATTTATAGAGGTTCTACTGTATCATCAAAAAAATTATTTATTTTTCACTCTCGTCTATTTAAGCGGGCCTTATCTAGTAAAGTTATTAACCGTTCACAGATTTTGTGTTACGACAAATTTAAAAGATTTATGAAAACAATACCAAGTTCTGAAATTGTGCAATTGACTATGGACTCGATGTTTCAAGGTGATATTCATTAGAATTGAAGAATGAGTAAAATATTGAACCCAAATAAGACTTCTCAAATGTTATTACTGTATCATTGTTTTTTTTTTCTGGAAGTATAACATGTAGAGTAAACTAAAACTTTAAGAAATAACTTGGAAAAAAATCAAATATTTTTAAAAATAAATTAAAACTCTATTTTGGTGTAGGAGGAGTTGGACCGGCAATTCTTGAACATTGTTCTTTTAGCATCGGAGGGAAAAACGGAATGAATGGAATTTTCGGCATGCAATTGGCTTCGGCATCTAAAAATGCTTTGCAACAAGCCGGACCTAAATTACCGAATTTTCCAGTGAAAATGGATTGAGAAATCTCTGCGATGCATCCAGGAATATCCATCACGGATGACCAACATTTTGTTATGTCAGGTAATCCTGGCATACCTGGAATCGGATGGAACGGAAATGGAAAAGGAAACGGAGCTGGAAACTGTGGCAACTGAGCATTCACAGAAACTATGATGCATAGAGCCGCTAGGAGTGAAATCACATTTTTGATAGACATAATGAGAAATTGAATAAAAATAGCCTTAGTATAGCCAAATATTTGCTTAATGCTCTGTTTGTTTTTGATTGATGAACAACAATAAGATCTTTGCTTATTTATATGGAATGAAATGTGAAACTGAGATATTAGTTATCTTAATTTAACGTCTTTGAATGCTTTGATCAGGTATTCGATTAGACGTTTTATTAATTTAAATAGAGTTGAAACTCCAAGTGTGAAACGAGCAACATTAACTAAGCAATATTGACTACAGAGAGGAAATAAAAGTATACCAATAAATCGATTTATAGAGACATTTATTTGAATCGATTTATAAAAGTATACCAACTTGTCGACTCTTAATCTATAGAGTTAGGATTCTCCATGAGTCCATGACTTGTCGTAAGAATTTTACTGGGTGAGGTTTTTGTGCCGTTAGCATTAATATTATGTAAACCTGAATCTGGACCGTAAACAATCTTGAAGTCATTCTGGTTTAGCTTGATATCACATATTTTAATCAATTGCATGAACTTCTAAAATACCACATATTTAATCAATTGCATGTGTAAAAAAACTTTATGTATAAGTGTAAATTATATTTTTAATCAATAAGTACTAACCTATGGGCCGATCCGCCAACCCGCGGACGAAATCCCATTAAACCCATGACAACCGCGGATCAATCCATGAGGCCCGCTTATTTGCTGGTTCTTTGCATGTAACAGACTTTCCCCAATCGAGAAGAAGAATTTAATACAATCGAAGCACATTAGCCCAAACCTATCCCAATGTGACATGTTGGGCTCGACCTGCGAATTTCGACCATTTTGACAGTTCTTATTCCCATCAATCGTCTAATTATAGAATTCCAAAAAACAAAATTCTACTTTGTGGCTAAATCATAATTAATATGACAAATTTTTATCATTTTTCTCTACTATTTGCTATTAAATACATTATACGATTCACTCTACTAAAAACACGCACAATATTAAAATCAACGTCACACACTAAATATAAACCAATATTCCCCTGCGGTGGACCGCGGATCCGATCCTAGTATATATATTAAAAATGACATCAGTGAAGCTTCAGAGATTATTGCGTCCCTTTTAAAACTGACGTTACTATATTCATTTCTATTTTATACCAACATTAATTATTGAAAAAACCGACACGAAAATTTTGTTTTTGTAGTGATATATATACAGGGGCGATTGGTATAAGTACCGACTGTTATTTTTATTTGTAGAGACTTTGACTGTAAAAATTTTAACTATAGAAACTTTGGTTGCAAAGACTTTCGATGCAGAGATTTTTGGAACCAATTGATCAAAATTCTGGCGGTAAAAGTTATAACTTTTTTTTTAGTCAAAAAACAAAAGTTGTAACTTTAAACAATTACCGAATTTATTTTTTTTCATTAATATTTATTTCACCTCTAGGGGTAAACCCTTGTATTCACCCCTTTTGGTTTTAGCCAATGATTGTGTCATGTCATATATCATTTAAATAAAAAAATTGAAAATAAAACAATTAACAAAAAGATTGATTTAGATAACGTCGACATTTGTGTTAGCATTGTTACGTTAGGGTTTCAATTTATTCCACGACCATTGATACGTCGTCATTCTTTGAAGAAACCAGAAAAGATTAAGTTTTCATTTGTTTGCATAGGAAGTTGTCTTCTCAGGCTCCATCATATCATGTTAATCAAAGAAGAACATGTACGAAAAATTGAACAAGTCAGAAAGAGAAACACAAGCAATATTAATGTTTTTTTAAACACTAGCAAAAATTGAACAAGAAAGACAACCAAACCAAGTAATGATCCCATAACTAAGAGCCAAATCAACTCATCCCAACGTTTCCGAGTCCATTGACCAATTTGTTTCCGAATCCAACCAAAGAGAACCACTGTCGTCTCTTTCCTGATCCCAACGAATGTTTTCACGTTTTCTCCTTCGAATCTAACCAAATCGTCGTCGTCTTTCCCATGTCTTCATATTTCTTCAAACGACGCCGACGTATGGGCATGGAATAAATTGAAACCCTAACGTATGAACGGTAACACAAATGACGACGACGTTAACTAAATCAATTTTTTGTTAATGATTTTATTTCTTCTTAATTTTTTTTATTTGTTAGTTTAATTTTTATTTAAATAGTATATGACATGGCACAATTATTGGCTAAAACCAAAAGAGGTGAATACAAGGGTTCACACCTAAGGGTGAATCCAAGAATTGTTCTTTATAAATCTAAACGAAAAGTAGAAGAGAAAAACAATTGAACTGTATATACTTTTAAAACATAAAAAAATGCTGAGAGTGTGATTGAATAAAAACATACAGTACAGGACTACAAAAAAATAAAAGTCTTCACAGTCATGAACCAATCATCTCCATAATTTTGTAATCTTGTACTAGATTTTAACCCGCGGTACACCGCGGGATGATTTAATTTTAAAGTTCGTATAAAAATATTTTGTAAATTATATCTTCTTATAACATATTTATTTATATTATAGTTTACAATTGTTATTAAGTAACGGTATACCATGAGTCCACGAGACAATTATTAATAAACTGAGGATTTAACCCTTATTAAAGCGGTATATAAATATTAATTCAAATTCATCCGCCATATAAATCTTTTCCGAAATATAACTCTTTCCATAATTTCTTAACCCGTCCCGTGATTTGTTTTTATTTTAAAATTTAATAATTATTTATTATATATAAAAGTTTACAAATCATATCATTCTCTAAGACATTTATATTTTAATAAACTGAAGATTTAATATGTATTAAAGCGGCATGTTAATGATATTTAAAATTTTATAAATATTGTTATTAAGTAACATTATACCACGGGACAATTTTTGGTTTTATACAATCTTTTCTAAATTAGACTTTAATATGTCTAATATTAGTGGTATTAAAAAAAAATAAGGATTTAAATCCGTATTGAAACGGCGGATTAATGATATTTTAATCTTTTTATTATTGTTAATTCAATAACTCGTCCCGCCAAACCCGTCCGCCCAAAAAACTCATTTATTTTATTAATGTTGATCTTATTTATGATATGATTCTGAATCATTGTCTAAATATTTTTAATCGATGTAGAACGTTGAACACACATTTTCATCAATTAGATAATATATGTCCGTTTTAAAAATTTCGAATCATAGTATATGCAGAAAAAAAATTGATTTTTGTTTTTACTTTATGTATTATATGATGATTCAAAACAGTTAAAAACAAATCAAACAAAGATGATAAGAGAATCATAATTCTAAATCTTAATCAAATATTCTAATTATCTAAATTATTAAATATGGAATATCCGGTGTATGAGTTGGGTTAAATATAACCCGACCCAACAAATTTTTTGTGAAAGATTTTAAAAAACGGGTCGGATATCCGATTAACCCAGAAGCATTTTTACCCACCCGTCACCAAAGTGTTGCAAAAATACTAGTATAGACTAGATGATTTACCCGCACTATGTGCGGGGAGAAATAGTTATATGAAATATATAAAAAAAATTTTGGAAACCGATTATATATTATCACTTGATATATAAGTGTGAATATTTGAATATGATTTAGTAACTCATATATTTTGGAGATTTTATTAGTTAGGAATTAGGATATTCCATATTTGGAATAAGATTTTAAATTAAAATATTGACCAAAGTTTTTTTTTGAAATATCATTCCTATAATTCTGAAATATATTCGAATATTTTTGTATTTTAATTAAGATTTTATTTTGGAAAAAAATCAATATAAAAACAGAAAAGAGTATGAATAATTATTTTTTAAACGTAATAAAATTTTATTATCCTTTATTATTCTTGATAATTCTATGTAGTTAGGATTGATTTATTGCATATCCCTCATTTTATGAATCAATTTATATTGTTACGATAAGGTATTGGGTTGTAAATAAATTGTAACTAAAATGAGTAAATGACTAATAAATTGAGTAAGCCGTGTAAAAGTTTTAATAAATTGATAAGGTAAAAATTTGAAAAGAAATAATATTGAAAATAATGAGTAAGCGGATACATTTTTAACATAGATTAATATTAAATATTGTTCATAGTGAATGTGTAATAAATAAAATGTACTAACTAATTTATGTAAAACTATGTTCCAAATATATTTAAGAAACATATGGGCTCACATATACATTTAGATGTTTTGTAATTTATAACAAAAAATAGAATGTCATATATGTTAAAATTCTAAATGTTTTTTATAAAACATATAAAAAATATAAGTACAAAACATATAATAAACATTTATATTATATATTGTTCATCATGATATATACTTTTTACTTGTTTCGTCAATATATATAGTTTTTATTAATTAATTTTCTTTATTAATTGCTAATCTCTTAAATATAGAGGAAAAATATGCATAAGTACCACTTATCATCATGTCCGATCCCCGTTGGTTGCTGAAGCTTTAGCAACTCTTGCAGCGGTGAGAGTTGCAATTGAATTGGAGTACACCAAATTTTTCTTCGCTTCTGACTCGCTCAACCTTGTCAAAGCCCTCAATTCGGAGACTCCACACAAGGAACTCCACGGGATTCTCCACGATATCCTGACTCTATCTTCCAACTTTGATTTCTGCTCTTTCAATTTTATTCCCAGGGATTTTAATCGTCAAGCTGATGCTTTGGCGAAAGAAGCCCTCTTGTTTTGTAATGAACCCTAAGTAATCAGTAAAAGAAATGTTTTGCCCAAAAAAAAAAAAAAAATACCACTAATGGCATTATATGTAATTAGTCTAGTAAATATTGGATAATTATTAAGTTTGCTCAGAGTTTTTCTGGTTGCGACATGTCAGCATGACAGTCTTATAAATCACACGTGAAGGTAAGGTTTTTTTATTTAAAATGCTTCTCGATTAATATATAGGGGATAATCTAAAATGACCACACACTTGACTATTGGTTTATTCTTATGTATGTTTAATGTATAACTAATGTACATTTGATTGCTCATAAGGCCCGAATGCATTTTCAACTACCATGAACTACAAAGAATGGATAACGATATGA